TTTTCCTTTGGAATCTCGCAAACAGGAAATGATCATTGCTGGGCTCCAGCCTGAGACTGCATATTCCATCACCGTAGCCGCCTACACCATGAAGGGAGATGGTGCTCGCAGCAAACCAAAAGTGGTCACCACGAAGGGTGCAGGTAAGAGTCTTTTCCTCAACCCTTGGGATTCACCAGTTTCCTAAACCAAGAAGCTCTTTATTCAAACTCAGCTTCTTTCATCCCGCTCGCTTCACGAAGGACAGACTTGCAACAAACCCCATGCTGCCCCAAAGACAGAATTATTTCTAGTAAGGCAGAAAGCCCTTCATTCCTCACAGGTGGCCCTCACTAAATGACATAATTTTCTGTTCAGTGCTGCAGAAAGCCCAGGCACACCCAGAAATGCAGAAGAGGATGAATTCATTGCCTGTAATCTCTTGTGCTATAAATTCCGGTGCAGTAGAAGTAAAGAGAATCTCTGCCTGATCTGACACTTGTGGAGAGACTGTAGCTTTGGTGGCTGGTGCACACAGGTACCCCGGGGAACAGGAGAGCCAGAGGTCTGCCGTCATCGTGTTGACTGGCAAAGATCTGAAAAGCAACAGGGAGACAGTGGTGGCTTATACTGCCCACTCTTCTCTTCTTCCAGTATCACGTCTGAACATATGTCCCCTTTGCTCAGGACTAGCGGAGGGAAAAGTACTGACAGTGTTGACCTTTCCTCGTTGGCATTTCTGGGACCTGGGCTCCGTCTGCACATACCATCCAGACTCATTCCTCCCTTTGACCTATTCTTCGTGGCAAAGTGTCCGTCGGCCTCAGTGCAGAGGACGCGGTGCCAAGCTAGGATGGCAGGGCCTGCACAGAGGAATGACAAAGGGCAACAGGGTATCCCTCGCTCCTCCAAACAGTTGTGCTGCAGGCAGAAAGGAGAGGTGCACACTCCACCTGTCCTCAGCATCTGTATTCCTGTGGTTTTTGTTCTCATGGCTAAACCTCCGCTCTGCAGTATGGGAGGAGTTCTGTGCAGCAGAGGGAGACTGTGGTGCCTAGACCTGGAGTTGTCCCTCGCCCGGCCCATCTCTTGTTGGCCTGTGGTTACCTTCTCCCACCCCATCTTCTCGTGTTCTTTCTTTTGGTCCTGCTGTCAAATGATGGCTTTCTCCCCTCTTCACTTCTTTTCTTTGTCTGCTGCCTTTGCACCCCTGGCTACCTGTTCATTTTCTTCTTAGTTTTGGGGCGGCCATCTTCACCCTCCCTGTAGTAGCTGCATAAACTGACATCATCCCTTGTTTCTAGAAGAACATTGCTCTGTGCCTCTGCAGGGATCGAAGGCCTTTGGTCAGCCCAGCATAATTAACCTGGAAACCTCTGCTCGGGCTCTGGAGGCAGCACAGACGCTCAGCCGAGTGCACGGGACAGAGGGCTCGAGAGCCCTGGCTTGGAACACACAGGGCTGGAGCCGCGGCTGCCCTCCATGCCCTTGCCTCTTCCCTGTCCTAATTCACATCTTCATCTCATTTTATGTTCTTGTGTTCAGACAAGTGAATGGGATTTCAGCCTTTCTCTCCCCTCTTGCCTCTCCTGCCTAGTTAAGAGAACGGTACGCAGGAGAACAAGGTTGCTTTCCAGGACACCGACTCTTGCAGATGTTCCAGCAGGGTACGTTTGGATGTCAGCATCCAGGCTCCCGTCCTCGCGCCTTGTAGTGTCAGCGCATTGTCAGAAGCCTTTTCCTTCACTCACCCCCTTCTCCTTCCCCCTCTGGCTTTGCCCGTGTTTCTTCTCACCAGCTCCCTGGTTCTCTCCTCTCATTTCCTCCTTCCGGAGGCTCTCTACCCTTTTCATTTTTCTCTCCCGGAGCCTTTCTGTCTGCCTCCCTCCCTTGTCACTCTCTCTTGTCACCCTCCCTCATCTCTCCCCATTAGGATTTGCAGTGCAGGTGATCAGTCACAGAGGGATGTTTTCTCCAGCACAGCAGCTATTACCCAAAACTCAATTTCCCCCAACTTGAAATAGCTATTTAAAAAAAAAAAATCTTTCAAATGGCTCTGTAACATTCTTATCTTCTTTGCAGTGTTGAGTCAATATACCTTCTGAGAGGAGAGATTTCTTTCTTTATCATTCAGGGCTAGGGGCTGAATTTAAATACAGTAATACATCCAATTTTCTCCTTTACTGTCCAAACCAATTGCAAAATAAAACACTTCCACCCACCCCCCCCGCTTTCTTCTCACCTTTCTTCCAAACAATATTTGTTGTGCAAATGTAATATTTTCAAGCTCAGCTGATTATAGTAACATTTGTGATAAAACCCGAAACATAAAGGTAATGGCATTGTTTTTCTCTTTAATGTGTTTCTTAGGCATTTCCAAGGGGGGCTCTCCCAGCGCTGTTCCCTAGCCGTTCTTTGGCAGTTTGAAATGAATAAAGCATTTGTTTCAGAGACAGCCCCTCATCCCCGTGTTCAGGTGTCAGTCGATGCAGCAGGCAGAGTGTTTTCCCCAGTTTGACTCTGCTGGGATCCCTGACCCAGGCAGCATCCTTCCCTGACCCAGGCAGCGTCCTTCCCTGCCGGCTCTCTCCTCGCTTCGTTAGCCGCAGTACGGCTTTCCAACGTGCCGACCCTCGGTCGGACTCGTGCTGCGAGAGTGGGCCGGGATCTCTCCTAACTCTGTTCTCTCTCTTCCTCCTGTTCAACCAGAAGAAATACCAAGGAGGAGAGAAAGAAATTAGATCTCTAATAGTGGAGTTGAGTGTAAATGACGCGTGAGCTGCTGGAATTAATGCTCTGGTTTCTCCAGCTTCAGGAACCTCTGGGCTTACACATGTCATTTAACTGTGGCTGTGGGCTTGCTTAGCAGTCGGGCAGTGCCAGGGCTCATTAGACAGAGGCACAGCACTGCTGAGCTCCTACAATATCCCCCCAAATGTGGGGGAACTAACCGACAGGTTAAGGAGGGAACTAACTGAAAACACACCGACACTCGGCTGTCTTCTCCCTTCTTCCAGAGGAGAGAAACTGCACAGAGTAAGCAGCATTTTTCCCTGCCCTCTGCCTTGCGCAGATTTTGGGCTCTGTTTCTGCTCTCTGTACGCTTCCTTCTTTCTGTACCCAACTGGGTGATCAGATGCCTGCCAGACTCGCTGAGCTGGCCTCCCGCCTGCTGCTCAGGACCTGGGGCTGCCCAGACTTCCTTTCCCATCCTTCATTACTTCACCCTCAGCTGCTCTGGACTTCCCAGCCTGAGCCAATCTGTTCCAGTCTCTTTCTGCCTCAGATGTGCTGTGTAATGGAGACAAAGAGAGGACGAGAGTTTGGGGGACTCCTGCGTCCGTTCTGCCCTGCCCTGGGAAGCATCTGATCGGGACAGGAGTCTGGGAGTCAGGGCTCCTGAGCTTGTTCTTCCCAGCTGTGGGAGCGTACGTGCTCCAGTGATAAGGGAGGAGCTGTGCACACCGTTCCATCCCGAGTAAAAGGAAGAAAATAAATCCAGAGATGGTCAGTACCTCACAGCCGACACGTTGGCAGTGCACCTCATTTCCTAAACTTGCTAGATCCCCTCCACCTGTACCGCGGGTGGGTGGCGGCAGCACGTTTTACAAGGGGATGGTACACTAAAGTACACAGAGTCGAGCTGAAACGTTGTCACTGATTTGAGGAACCTGTTGCTGCAGCTTAAGAGTCTCTGCATCTCCTCCTCAGCCACCCTGTCCCACCTTTGACTGAAGGTGTCTCTCTTCTCTTCCAGTCCCAGGGAAGCCCATCCTGTCCGTGCACCAGACAGAGGAGAACACTCTTCTGGTGAAATGGGAGCCTCCGTTGGATGCGGAAGGCCAGGTGATGGGCTACCGGCTCCAGTTTGGCCGCAAGGATGTTGAACCCCTGGCTACCTTGGAGTTCACAGCCCTGGAGGATAAGTACACCGCTCCTAGCATCCACAAGGGCGCCACGTATGTTTTCAAGCTGGCCGTGAAAAGCCGGGCTGGCTTTGGGGAGGAAGCTGTGCAGGAACTCACCACCCCTGAAGACATCCCCAAGGGTTACCCCCAAATCCTCGAGGCGAGCAACATCACTTCCATGTCGGTCCAGTTTGGCTGGCTCCCCCCCGTGCTGGCCGAGAGGAACGGAGCCATCGTCAAATACACCGTGGCCTACCGGGAAGCCGGTTCTCCCGGCAACCCGCTGGAAAAAGACCTGCCCCCCTCCCCAGAGAACTCGTACACCCTCAACGGCCTCAAACCCAACACCGCCTATGATGTTAAAATCCGTGCTCACACCAGTAAAGGCCCCGGGCCCTACAGCCCGACCGTCCAGTATCGGACGTTCCAGCTGGATCAAGGTAGGACTTACCGGTTTCTCCTCCCTCTCTCTCCTTGTAACCGGGGCTGGTGCCGGGAGGCAGAGAGCTGGAGAGGTCAAGCCAGGCTCAGCCAGGCTCGTGAGTAAATGCAGAGCACTCTGGTTTCACACTCAGTCCCTCAGCTCCTCTCTGCCTTGCGTCAGGTAAGTCCCTTTTACCACTTTCTTCTAAGTAAAGTCCGGACACCCTTCTTTCGCTGGCACCTGAAGTGGGGGGCCAGTCGCTATACAGGTGGGAAGAGCATTTTCTTCAGCTTTTGCAAACAGCCAAAAGAAAACAGAAAAAATAAAAAATAAGCACTCAAAATATGACCTGGGAAGGGTTTCCTCACCTGAGCATGCTCAGAAAACCAGCGCCTCGTTCCTGCAGCAGCCACCCAGACCCATCAGCGCGTGGGCAAAGCCACGCACCCTCTCTCACCCCTCCCCGGGGTTAGGCGTGGGGACAGGGAGCACTGGGAGATGGACCTTGGCAAAACTCAAGCAAAGTGTGGAGGAGGGAGCAAGCCCTTCCGTTGTTGCAGCAGAAGCCAGACCCAGACTGGTGGGCCCTTTTCCCAGTGCCTGACATTGTCTTCCTTCTCTTGCTCTTCCTTCCCTCTGCTGCCTTTTCTTCTCCTTTCTCCCCTTCCTCCTCACTTTTCTCTCAGCAGTTTTACCCAAAAACTTCAAGGTGAAGATGGTGACAAAGACCTCTGTGCTTTTGAGCTGGGAGTTTCCTGAGAATTACAATTCTCCCACCCCGTACAAGGCAAGTGGAACGGAGGAGTCAGAAATGTGTTGCTTCCCAGTTTCCTGGGACTCTTATCTGTTGGTTTGAATAAGAGGTTGTAAGAGGCAGGAATTCTGGATTCCTGCCTCAGATATGGGCAGATTATGGTTAATCGCTAGTTCCAGGAGGTGGCCTGAAAATCAGGGCTGTTGGGTTCCATTCTCTGTTACCAAATCATTGCGTCCCTAGACAAGTTACCACAATTTTCCCATTTCGGGATAAAATTTTCTTTCCAGAGAAGTCTCAAGGCTTTGTCCTGCATCTGCCTGGTGCTTGAGGGACCCTCTTGTGCGGTGGGCACAAGAGACAGACAGCTCCCCACTCAGACACCTTCTGTTCCTGTGTTTGCCCCAGCGCTGGCGGAGCTGGGTGCGGCGTGGCGGAGCTGAGTGCCGCACGCTCGTTGGAAGCAGCAGGGAGGCAGGAGGTTGGTTGCTTGGGCAGTATCACCCTCGCTCCTGGTACAACTTTGCTGCCTCTTCGCCTCCCCCAGATCCAGTACAATGGGCTGAACGTCGATGTGGACGGCCGCACCACCAAGAAACTCATCACCAACCTGAAGCCCCGCACGTTCTACAACTTTGTTCTGATGAACCGGGGCAATAGCATGGGGGGCTTGCAGCAGAACGTCGCTGCCTGGACCGCTGCGGACATGTTATCGAAGAAGCCGGAGGTGACCCACAAGCCTGATGCTGACGGCAACGTGGTGGTGATTCTCCCAGACGTGAAGAGCTCTGTGCCTGTCCAGTAGGTTTCTGTTAAACTGCAGATGTGGGGTGCTCAGTTGAGGTTTTGGGGGTCAGCCCCGATGGCTGGAGTCCACAGTACAGACCCACGAGGTTATATTTTGGAGCCACTTCCCAGAGCTAACAGGGGATGGCAAAGAAATGCAAAGGGAGTAAAAAAGGAGACATGTCATGGAGCTGCCACTGAATCCAGGCTCGTTCCAGGAGCAGCACCAACTGTGCGAAATTAAAAATAAGGGGTTTGCCGGGTTGGGTCAGTGGGGCTGGTTGGGCAAACCTAACCTTCCACATCAGTGTGTGCGCTCTCTTCTGTGGCTCGTAGAAGGAGATTAATTCCTTCCATTTCTTCTGATTATTCCCACTCTTAGGGCTTATTACATTGTGGTGGTGCCTCTAAGGAAGTCCCGCGGAGGACAGTTCCTCAACCCCTTGGGCAGCCCTGAGGAGATGGACCTGGAGGAGGTGAGTGTGGGCAAAACTAAAGCCAGCTGTAGGGAGAGAGCAGACAGCTGTAATGGATGGGGTGGTGACCGGAGAGCCTGGGAAGGGTGGTTTTAGGCTATCTGTGCTCCATGTTCCGAGTAGCTAAGATGAGGCCAGTCTGAGTAGGGTAGTTTGGTTCTCCTTTCTTCCTGCTCCCTTGATGGTGCTGAAGGCATCAGGGCTCAGAGTGTTCCTTTGCTTCTTCCAGCTCGTTCAGGACATTGCCAGGCTCCGACGCCGAAGTCTGCGTCATTCCCGACAACTGGACTTCCCCAAGCCCTACATTGCTGCCCGGTTTCGCTCCCTCCCCTCCCACTTCATCTTGGGGGACATGAAGCACTACGACAACTTCGAGAACAGAGCCCTGGAGCCAGGGCAGAAATATGTCATCTTCATCCTGGCCGTGCTCCAGGAACCCGAGGCCGTAAGTGCTGCCTGCTTTCTCTTGCCCTCTTCAGATGCTTGTGCCCCTCTGTCCTATCGACCAGAGACAGCAGCTGCTCCCTCGTGAGCTGCCAGAAGCCCTGGTGCCCTCCTGGCATTCTCCGTAGCTCTCTCCCACCAGATGCCAGAGCTTGAGGGTTTTTTTCTTTGTAAAGACCTTCCAGTCCAGCTGTGGAGTTTTTGCATGTGGCTGTTGGAGCTGTTTGCGCTTGTGTCCGCACGCAGCAAACGTGCTCTTCCAAGCAAACAGGGTGATGACACAACTGTCTTGTGCGCTCCCGCTGCATTCTGCCAGTCTTCCTAGGCAGGACTCGCTACGCTTGTGGCTCCAGATTTGAGTCCAGAATGGGGAGTGCTGAATTATCCCCTCAGGACTACACTCGATTTCGGAGATTTCCTCGGTCAACCCCCTTTACAAAGAGTAATTTCTTGTAAAGGCTGTCCTTGTATTCCTTAGAGCACTGGCCCTGGCCAGCCTGCTCGGAGAGCAGCATGTCACACGCCCTGGACATTACTAAGTTCCTTGCCAGGCACAGAGAGGAGCATTTTTTTATGGAAAACTACATGTGATCTCTGCTCTTTATACCACTTCAGCACCTCTGCTGATTTCAGTGGTGCTGTGTTCAGCTTTATGAAAACAACTGTTTTAATATTTACCTGCCTCCTCCCTCATGCACAATAAGGAAGCAGTCTAATACTTTGTTGTTTTTAAATCCCCCTATGGAGTTGTAGCAGGGAGCTATTTGAAATGAAGGGTTTTCAGAGTTGGGTATTTTTTTTCCCAAATAAATATTTAGTTGTGTATTTGATATTAAAGGATTAGGCTGACACGCTTCTGAATGGGTTTCTCAATCGGATTACTGCAGCTTGTGGTAATTTCTGCTTTAGAACAAGGTACTGCATCCTCGCTCACAACGGCCTGGATTCACAGCAGCTCCCGAGTACGTAGCAGCATTTCGGTCTTGCTGAGAGCTGATAGAGTTCAAGGACCCAGAGCCCAGATCTCCTGTTCTTCTCCTGTCCCAGACTTTTCCCTCAAACCAGGGCACGCCAGTTGTCCTCTGTACATTCTAGTTTCTGTAGTTTCTGTGTAAGACGGGAACGCGGCGTTCCTGGGGTGGGGAGATTGTAGCACTTATGAGAACGAGCAGGCGATGCCCATTAATTAGGACTCTGATGAGTTTCAGTGTGCTTCTGATGCTCCTCAAGAGCACAGCTCACAGCAGAGGCAGCAGAGGAGATATATTGCATTTTATTAATTTATATTTAATTTTAAGGGTGGGTTTTTTTCAGTCACCAGACCAGACTGTTTCTAAGCGTTAATTCTTGTTTTAATCCCTTCCCTCTTTCTCCGTAATCCCATCTGACTGTCAAAATCCAGATGGTTACATGAAAGCTTGGAGAAAGGGTTTGTGGGAGCGGAGAGGGCTCAGGGATGTGGTGGAGCAGAGGCAGAAACAACTAGTTTTCTAAAAGTGCCTTCCTGGCTATCAGATTAGTGGCACAAGACAGTCACCAGCTTCATGTGAATGTGATTTTTCAATGGTCTGTCTTGCCTGCAGCACTGGAGGAGGAAGATACCTGTCACATGGGTACTCACAGACAAGTTTTTTTCTGTAGATGGAAGAGGGCATTTTCTCTGTTGTTATTTGGAATGTGCTGCAGAGAGATCACATCCTCTCGAGCAATTTCTCTTGTGGAATACTGTGTGCTTGCCCATTGTTTTCTGTCCCCATTCCATCTCTGAAATCTGTTCCACAACCTTTCATGTCTTACAGACTTTTGCTGCTAGTCCTTTCTCCGACCCCATCCAGCTGGACAACCCCGATCCGCAGCCGATCATTGATGGAGAGGAAGGGCTGATCTGGGTCATCGGGCCCGTCCTGGCCGTGGTGTTCATCATCTGCATTGTTATTGCCATTCTACTCTACAAAAAGTAAGACGTGCTTCTTGCCCAGATCTGTGGCCATTCGGAATGTCCCAGCTCTAGCCCCTAAAGGGAATTTCCTCCTTGGTCCTGTGGTTGTCAGCTGAGGGCAAATCCTTCCACCAGCACCAGAGAGAGGAGCCCTGAGGCACAAATGCTGTAATGGAAGGGCGTGACGGGCACAGGAGAGATTAGCCGTGGGTTGCAGGGACTTGCTGCTTCAGAGTCTACCCCACAGCACTCGCAGTAAAGCTGTGCTTGTCTGTAGACACTCTGTTGTAGCATATGTGCAGTGAGTTTGTCAGGTCTCTTGCCTGTCACCTCCAGAAGAGCTGCTCACAGCCACAGCCAGAGTTCACCTTCCTGTGCTCTGTGTGTGCTCACGCTGGGGGTGACGCAGAGAAAGCACCTTTGTGCTGCCGATCAGCAGAAACCTCCATTGTTCCCAGACTGGTTTTCAGCTGGAGTTGGGAGACAAGAGCAGCAGCAGTACTGTGACTCTGCAGGAGAGAGGAGGGAACAGCCCCTGGAAATGTCTCCCTTCTCCTTGGCTTTCTGAGCAGCTCGCGGCACGTGCGTGGGAACAGGGGCCCCTCGGACACACACAGGCCACACTGCGCAGTGAAAGAGGACAGGAGAGAAGCAGATGCTGAGCAAAACAGATCAAAAAAAGGGGCAGGATGGCAGCTATGGCCAACGTAGGGGTGTCCTTAGCTGGGACGTGTAGTACACAGGATGGAGGGAGCTCTCTTAACCCTGCTCCATCTTTTATCTGCACAGGTGTGTTTGTGTATGCCCACGGGTGTGTCTCTTGCATCACAGCATGTGTGAAGCCGCTGCACACACACGTGCTCTGGGGTCAGGGACTCAGGTGGTCCTTGTTGGTGTTCATTAGCACTCATCTAAATGGGTAATCTTTGCTCGTCCCATCTCCCACCTGTGTTACCCGGGTTAGAGCTAAGCAAATGCTTCCCCCTTCCTCTGCAAGTCCTTTCTAACCTGAACATTTGTCTTGTCTTCTCTCCACTTACTGCTTTCCTGGACAGCAAGCCAGACAGGTAAGAGCACTGGATTTGCCACTTACTTAGGTTCTTTCTTGCTGGGCTGGCTGTGCGTTAGGTAGTGCTTGCTGTCTGTGGTGATGGGGCTTTGGTGGTAGAGTTCCTGCCATTAGATCCGTTCTAACAGACACCCTGGGTCAGGCTAGCATGGGACCGTGTTTGAATTGGGGCAGAAAAAGCAAAGAAAGCCCAGCTTTCTCCCGCTTGTCCATTCCTAAGTATAATGGCCCTTTCTCAAGCTGAGCAGCAGTGACAGTAAACGGCTCATAAAATGTTGGGTTAATGGAGCAGAGAAACACCCATTTGTGTTGCAGTCAGAGGTGAAAGCAGGTTTTCTCCATGTCTGACTGCTCCATACAGGCTGTCCCTGAGCCACTGGCATGCTGGAAGCAGAATCTCACCAGCTGAGCTGTCCTCGCCGCATTGCAAAAGCTATTCTTGCCCCATCAGCCGGGGACTTCTAAGAGTTCATTTATGACTGCAAAAATGAGACTTATTTCAAACCATTTCCAAGGCTGGAAGAGCTTTCACTGGAAGTAACTGATGGGTTTAGCCAACGAACTATTAACGGCCGTTTCAGAACTGTGGCAAAAATAAACTACTCCCAAACTGCAAAGTGGTGTAATTCCAAAATGCTGCCCCATGCAGTGCCGGCAGGGCTCATGCCACTTCTTCTAGCTATTAATGACATTAAGAGACAGCTAAAAATGTACTGAATAACCTCCTCTCTGCCTAAGTAATTGCCATTATTGCTGCAGGCGTATTATTGGAGGCTTCTGTGCAACCCAAGCGGGAGAGGCGAGGAGCTCTACAGCCATCTTGCTAGAAGGGCCAGGACAGTATTTGCAAGCCTCAGGGTGTGGGTGCGCGTTCTCTGCCCGCTGGAGAAGTTCTGCTCCCAGCAGCTTGTCACTGTTCCCTTGCCAGAGGTTATCACTTCTTCAGATCAGCACTGGGCTTTGCTTCCAAATTCTCTTCAAGGAGAATGAGCCGGGTCAGCAAAGACTTTTCAACCGCTTCAGCTAACCTAACCCATTTTGAGCAAAATATATTAGGAAGCACTTACATGTGCAGCTCAGCTGGCAGGTTGGAGCGGGCTTCAGGTTCTGGCAAGGAGGTGAGACAGATCTCAGCAGGCACAGCTGTGATGGGAGAGGATGTGTCTACGTTGCTTTTTGAACCCAGATTTTTAGGGTTCTGCAGATCAAAAAAGGTTGAAAACCACTGCTCTGACTTCTCTGTCTGCAGCCAGGCACCAAGAGCTCCTAAACAAGCCAACAGAGCAGTATCAGTACTTTATGTCCAAGGTCACAGCCAGGAGATTCTGTACTTTTCCAAATGATTATGTTGGCTCTGGTTCTTTCGGGCTGAAAATGGCTTGGCTGGAATTGGAAGGCTTCTGCTTGCAGAGCTCTGCAGAGTTCAGTGGCGGCTTGTCCGTGCAGGGCGGCAGAGGTGGGAGCTCACAGCACCTCACTGCTCCTTGCTGCCGGTCTGTACTGCTGCTGGGAGAAGGGGGAACTTCCAGACTTGTCTGAAAGCTGCTGAGGAGCTGCTGGGCCGTTGTAAACCCATCAAATACAGCACTGACAAAACCTTCCAAACCCTGTCCCTTTTCTGATGCGTTTTATGTAACTTACATCCTTGGCTGCATCTGGCCGTGATTTCGGTGGGAGCTGTACGCAGGTCTGAACACGGCCTGAGTAGCTGAAAAGACTGAAGGGCCCATAAGCTAAGATGCTTTGTCTTTTTGTTTTTTCGTTTCTTTTTTTTTTGTTTTTTTTTTGTTTGTTTTTTTGGTGTGTTTTTTTAAAGCAAACGGAAAGATTCAGAGCCACGAACAAAATGCCTCCTGAACAATGCTGAAATCACCCCTCACCACCCTAAGGACCCCGTGGAAATGAGGCGCATCAACTTCCAAACGCCAGGTAACCGGCTGCAAACCAGCCTTTCTCAGCGGGAAGGCAGGAGTGGAAGCGACTGCCCCTTCCTCCTCGGCCCATTCCTGCCGGCGTGAAGGCCGCTGCAGTGCTGCCTTTGAGACCCAGCGCTAACCTAGGATGCAGCCAAGGAACCTCGAGCCTTGTCTGCGCTAAGTGAGACTGCCGAAATAAACCTTTGCTGGGAAACCTCAAGGACCTTGCGCGGGCTGTACCCGGCACCAGCAAGGCAGGGAGAAGGGCTTGCCTGGGTACTCAGCTAAATTGGTGCATTCTGGGCTAAGTACGCAGCTGCAAGCGCCGTGGCCGCGCCAAGCTTGCCAGACCACCAATGCTGCCGCGCAGCGCCGTGCCTCGCACCGGGAGATCCCCGGGGGTGGTGGAGATGAAGCGTGGCGGGCTGCCCAGCACGCACTGCTCCAGCCACATCTCTTAACTGGCGCTTTCTGCATACGTGCCGAAACACCCCTGTCGGGAGCCAGGGCTGCCCCGTGGCTTGTGCGGAGAGGGAACGGCAGCTGAGTGCTTCGCGCAGACGAGGCAGCGTCTCCTCGCTGAGTGCAGACGCCATCACTGCGAACAGCCACTGAGCCAGTGCGTAACGGCACTTAACTCCCGGACAGAGAGGCTCCACGCACCCTCCTTCCTGTAGCCGTGTGTCCCCATGTACATGCATGTCTTAGCTGCCTGCATGGCACATCTGCAAGCCACCACTGACACGGCCCGGCACAGGCATGGCCCCACGCAGACAGACACACGCCTGCGCACTGGTACTCTGCCTCTGAGGTCCTGGAGCTTGAGGATTTGGAAGGGAATTTATTGTGCTTTTTGGGGGCTGGCTGTTGGGGTTGGTTTTTTTTCAGTTTGTTTGTATTTTTTTTCTGTTTTGTGCTTGTCAGTAATGTTTCTGCAGCTCCTGTTTCCCCGTCCCATCCCAGTCCTGTCCTTAGCGTTGTCTGAGTTTTCTTAGGGTGAGGTTGGCGAGGCAGTAGGAACCCGGAGGGCAGGGATCTCGGGGGGAGGCACAGAGGCAGCACTGAGCGGAGGGTTTCACATCAAAAAGAGTTAGGAACAACTCACTGGTGTCACCCCAGGCTTAGGAACGATCGAGTCTCAGCCGAGGGATGGAAGCAAGTTCAATCCAGCACGCAGGGGCTGAATGCAGAGCAGTTCAGCAGCAGTGAGGTCCCTAAATCAGCTCTTACGTAGTGGTGCTCTTGCAGGAGAGTCTGAAGGTGTGGGGGATCTTTTGAGTGTCCCCGGCTGCAGCTCAGCAGCGGTTTGCGTTTGTCTGGGCTCGGTGTGGTATACCGGGTGCAAACCGGAGCTCCCTTTGGGAGTGCTCAGGTTGGCTTCTGGGTGCTCCGGGTGGTTGTGTGAGACCCAAGAGAACGAGCTGCGCTCCCCCATGTGAAACCTGTGCTGAGACGAACATCCAGCGTGGCCTGGGTGCTGAGGAGCAGCTGGGAGGGCTGTTTCGTGACTTTCCCTTACTGGGTATTTCTCCCTGTCCCCCCGGATAGCGGAGTCGGCTCTGGGCACCTCCCAGCTTCAGCTGACGTGATGGATAGATGAGTGAGTACGTCTTCCGTTGGCCCCGCTGTTCCGGTTCACGCTGTACCTCTGAATTCTTGGTCGCCGAGGCTTGTCGACGGTAGCCAAGACATGCAGACCTGCCGTTAAGGCTCTGCTAGGCGAAGGTCTGCAGATCTCAAAAGACTGCCCAGCTTTGTCCGGTCTAGCTTTAGAAAGATGCTGCCAGCTTTTCTTTACAAGTTTATCTAGCCCAGAGTTCAGCTAGCTAGTTTATTCTGCTATCGAGTTTGTAAAGCGGTAAAAGGTTGTAAAGGATTTGGGAGAGTTGGTCACCTGCCTCCCAGGGAATTTTGCAGACAGTTGGGTGACAATGGAAATGGGGAAATCAGAGCTTGAAGTGTGTCCGTGATGATGGAGAGATTGTGGTGCAGTTTGCAGGGGAGGACTCCGTAGGTGCTGTCTGAATTAGATACCCTGGGGTTTAGAAGAGGGTCTGCAGGCCCTTCGCCAGGCAGCCGCCCCGGGTGCAGCGGGCAGAGGGTCTGGTTCCTGTCCCCAGCAGCAGAACAGAGGGGGGACGCGGGAACGGGAGTGCGCGTGAGCATCTGCGCAGCTGGGAGAGGGGAAAGCGTAGCACATCAGAGATCCTGCCCTGGCCTAATCAGCACAAGAAATAACTTTCTTTTCCTCTTCAGATTTATGTTGGTTTTTTGGTTTTTTTATTAGCATGAAATTTTTTAAAAAAGTGTATATTTTATTTATTTATTTTTTACTGTTTTCTGCAGATTCTGGTCTGAGCAGCCCTCTCAGTGACCCTGAGTTTGACTTGGAAAGTTAGTTCCTGTGTGTTTTTGTTCCTGTTGGTTTCATTTTACACTCCCCCCATTATTATTTTTTTTTTCTCTTCTGTCCCTTTCCTTTCCAATTCTGTTTTGTTCCTGTTTTTTCTTTATTTATTTATTTATTTATTTATTTGCCAAATTCTCTGTATTCCTGCGGTGTTTGCCCATCTCATCCCTTTTCTGTGCCATCTGTTTGTCTGAACTGCGCTTCCAGTTTTACAGTATCGAATACCAGGCCTTTTGCACCACCAGGGCAGCAGCAGCATAGAGCCCCCGGTAGCAGCGTGGGACACTGTCTGTCCTTCTGTGTCTCTTTTGCTGTCTCAGGAGGAAGACCTGGCTTTCAAGGCTTCCTTTTCTCCCCGTTGTCGAACATGTTTCATTTCTGAAGCTTGGCTGAATGTCCCTCGTACTTATTCAAGGGCGGAAAGCCACCTTTTGTGCCCCGGTGCGTGTGTGTTGTGTGCGTGCGTGCCTGTGTTCTTGTGTTCATTGCTTCGTAACGTGGGGAAAGAGAAAACTGGAGCTGCAGCTGACGATCGCCTCGCTCTTTGGAGAGAGCCACGCAGGCACCTTTTCATGTCAGACGAGGAAAAGGGCCCTTTCCCATGGGTGGCAGGTGCCCGTTCCTTGGCATCGACTTGTTCCAGGAGCACAAAGCCGCGAGGCCTCTCCACGGTCCTCCGCACCCCCCGGGTTTCACGCAGAGTGCCATCCAGCCGCGGTGATTTTGCAAGGATAAATGAGCTCTGGCCCATGTAGCAGATGTTAGGGTGACGTTTCTGGCGAGTTGGCTGGTGCACAGAGAATCAAGTCTTTTGTGATAAGATTAGAGAGATTCAAGTGATTGAAACGTTAGATGAGACTGGCTCTGAAAGACTTCATCCCCGTTAGAAGCCAAGATCCCAGCTTGGCTGGGTGGGTTTGCGTTTTGGGGTTGTTTTTTATGCTGGGCAGGGAAGTAGATGTGAGGTTTCAGCTGACAAATGTGAAGAATCACAGATGCTGCTCGTGCTCGGAGATGTGAGGGCTGGGATGTTTTTCTGAAGAGTTTAATCCAAATATTGGTCTCTTTGGTATTGAATACTCCTGTCAATACCGTCCCGGTCCACCTGCCGCCTCCCCTCCACCCCCTCGCTGTAACAGAGGGGGTTGGGGGGGTTCAGGCCTTGGCTGAACCTCAGCCCACGGCAGCGCTCCCTCTGCCACCCTCGCTGCGGCGGGAGGTCTCCCTGGGTGGCAGCCCCGCAGGTAGCCAGGAGGCCGCGGAGCAGCGGAACCCGCCAGCCCTTTCCCTTCACCTCTGAATAAGAGTTATTGAATTAAAACAGGCAAAAGAGAAGCTGCTGCAGCTGACGCAGCAGTGCCGGCTGGTACCACTGGAAAGTACCGCTCCTGGCTTGTTTAATGTCAAACTCCTCCTGGATCTTAACGGGAACCCCGATGCACTTGGCATTTTGACCAGGAAAGTGTTTATCGCTGCAGAGGTTTCCGGTCTTCTTTTATTATAAAGAGCCCTAGAAATCGATCCGACAAGGACATTTCTGTCTTTAACAGCAGCAAAACAAGGCAGGTTCCCGTGTGCTCTCAGCCAGTGTCTGTTTGCAGCAGCGTGGAGGTGGGGGCAAAGAGACGGAGCTGGTTTTTAGGAGTCAGTCACACTCAGGATTTTTCCTGGAGCTTTTATGAAGGCAACTTGTGAAATGCCTTCAAGGGGAACGTGACTTCTTGTTCCCGATTGGCACAGGGACCTTTTCCCGTGCAGCCCACTTGCTCAGAGGGAATGACACGTACTGCTCCACGACTTCTAAGCCAAAGAGAATCTGGGGCTTTTTTTCTTGCTTGCTCATTATTACTAGGTTTTCTGACTGTGGGGGTTGGTTTTTTTTTCCCTTTTAACCTATGTGTGCGTCACTTGGGATTTCATTTATGGCACTGTGTTTCTAAGCATGCTTCAGCAAATAATCTCGAGCTTTTTGCAGCAGAGTCGAGTGTTGCGGCCAGGCACAGAGCTGCCCGCCTGCCTCCCAGCCCAGGGGGAAGAAGTCAGTGAGGGGGTGACCCGTGCGGATCTGGAGATGGTTTATTGAGTTGCCAGAAGTTGTTCTGAGTAGGGTTTGGCTTTGCTCTAATGCTACAGCTCAAGGTGTGTTTGCTACCCTCTCCAGCCCTTACTTTCGGAGGCAGAAGGACAGACGCTGAGAAAAGTGTTTATAATATTAACTTGGTTTGGCCTCTGATCTCTGGCGCCTCAGCCAGTGTGGCCTTCCCGTCCCACGCGGGCAGAGAGAGGACCAGTTCATCCCAACGTCCCCAGTCTATGCCCGTTGCTGTGGTACTGGGGTGTATGGCAGCCACCTTCCAGTACAGGGTGGGAAGCAAAGGAGAAATCCTTCTCCAGGTACAATGGGCTACAGGACAGCAAGAGACTAACTGGGAGCTTTTCCTCCATGAGCCGGGAGAGGCTTTCTGCCCTGATGCTCCGCAGATGAGAATGGAACCAGTGCAGCCTCCAGAATACTTTGGGGTTATTTTTGTGGGCTTTTTTGGTCTGCTCACCCCCTCCTTCTATTTTCAGCCAGACTTCCTTGTGCTTAAAATAGATGTCTAGTTAGCTTAGGAGAAACCTGTTGGAGTGGTGGCTCAAATCCCCGCTCTGTGGCAGACTCGTCCTGTCCCCAGGCCTGGGGGAGGCAGCATCTCTCCAGAAGTCACTGTAAAACTGAGGATGTCATGCTTGCTTTGCCATCTGTGTGCTGAGTTTTCAGAGTATCTGACCATGCTGCTGCCACCGCCGCTGCTTTGTCACACACCAACACCCACGGGGCTCGAAATTCTCCCTGGCTTCCATCTCTTCTCCACTCCTGTCTTTCTCACTGGGGGCACTGCCCGGGGCTTCTCGGCATGCTGCTGTCCTTGCCTGTCCGCTGTCATCGGCAGCGGGATGGGCTGGCAGACAGCATGGGAAGCCTTTGGAAAAACATAATCCAATGCAGATGAGCAAAGCACGGAGCGCTTTTCCACCCCGATTTGTAGCGTAGCAACTTGAGATGGTAGGACGGGAAGGATCCCTGCTCTTCCCAGAGCTCCAGCTGCCCTTCTCGGAGCAGAACGTGCAGATCACACTTGAGACTGAAAACTGAGTCTGCCTTCGCTGCTCAGCCCCGTCGTGGCTGAGATGTGCCTTCAGTCTGACCAGTGTGATGCAGCGTGGCCCTCCCACTACCAGCACATCTCGGAGGAGATGGGGGTCTTGTTCCATGGCAGTTCTGTCTCCCTCAATACCAACACACTAAGTGTGGGTGAGAATTGCGAGGGCAGCAGGTAAACCGGGGTCACGAGGCATCGCTCTCCCCAGCAAATTGTTTCCCATCCCCCAGACTGAGAAGGGGCAAGAGGCTCTTTTGCCCCTCCGTCAGAAAAGGTGGTGACCTCCGCAGCAGAGACTGCGACGGGTGGGTACAGCCTGCCCCGCCAGTGGGAGAGGGAGGGCGAGGACAGGGCATCATCCCCGGCATCACGTAGGAAGGACATCCTCCACCGGCTGTGAGCGGGAAGAGGAGCCAGTGCTTGACATTTCCATACCTGGTGGCACTCTCGGAGCGGCGAAGGTCAGACCGCTGCGTCCATGAGCTCACCAAAAGCTTTTCGAGCCAATGTTGTGCCAAGGGCAACTCCTGAAAAGCCTCCCCTGCTTTTCCCCCCATCTGCATTCCCTTCGCCTGCCCCACATCCCCGTGGTCGGCTGGATCCCTGCCCCTTCCCTTCTTTTGTGTTGGAGTTTGTTTATGATCATTGCGGGTGCTGTAACATTTGCTGCGTAGGTTCCTCTGGCAGCGTTTGCTCATTTTAAGTCCACTATTGGAATCGCTAACACGCATCTGCTCTTCGGATTTTCCTTTTTGTTTTGCTCTGATTTACACATTGAAAATGGGGCCATCATGGGAACACTCTCATTTTACTGTGGTGTTTTTTTTTTTAATTTCCTTGATTTTTATTTTTTACTTCCAAGGACACAATTTCGAGCCCTGAATTCTTCTCTTCTAACCTCCCTACTTTCATTGCAGATCTTACATTGTAATTTTTTTTCTTTTCTTGTTTCTTCTTTCTTATAAAATGTGCAACGGTTGTGAATTTTAGTTATTATTAAATGAGATTCTTTTCCTGCTGTCTTGTCTTTTAGGTATGCTCAGCCACCCACCAATCCCCGTTTCCGAGCTGGCTGAACACACAGAGCATCTCAAAGCTAATGATAACCTGAAATTGTCCCAAGAGTACGAGGTATGAGCGAGAGCGAGTGCTGTGCATGGTTTTGCCGAGCCAGGGAATTAGGAAATTCAGACAGGCCCTCATCCGGACAAACATAGCTTCATTTTTAAGGAGCCAGTTAGTTGAAATAAAAAAAAAAGCTATTTATGTATGGAAAATTAAGTACTTGCTCAGTGCTTTGCTCGATTCGATTCCAGATCATAAAAAAGAAAGAGGCTCCGCGAGCCGTCCCTTCCAAAGCGTGGGCGTCTGGGGCAGCATCTGAGCTCCCTTCACGCAGGGGGATGCATTTCTGGAAGATGACGGCCAGTGAGATGGGAGGGGGGGTGTCCGTGGGGGCGCCTCTGTCTTGCTGCTGAAGGTGGAGAGGACCAAGCCAAGGAACGCGATACCCAGTTTTGGATAGCTGTAGTTAGGCGAGATGAACAGTTGAGTCCTCCACAGCTGACACGGTCAGCAGCCACGGGGCTGAAGCTGAGAAAACGGGATGATTTGTACCTTCCTTGTCTTGTCTGGGGGTTTTGTGCTCTATCTTTTCTCCTTCCTGCTAACGTTTGGTTACTCAGATGGGCTCCCGCAGGGGACCAGCTCTGGCTGCTGGACTTGCATTTCAAACGACGATCCCAGACTGTAAAATTCCCACCTTGCCGGGGCTGAGGGCTCGGGCCGGTCCCGAGGCAGGCTGAGGGGGGAAGGCCAAGAGCATCACAGCCCCCACGTTCCCGCTGCCGCTGCGTAGCGTGGTATCCTCGTCACCAGACGGGGAAGGGCTGTGCGCTTGTACAAACCCGCTCCTGTCTGCTCGCGGTATTGCGGCTGCGTCAGCACTGCCTAAATCCCAGTGCAAATGCCCAGTGCTGCCGGGACCGTCGGCATGCGAGTTGCTTTCATTGCACATTGAACAGAGGACTGAATTTTTTTTGTTGTTGTTCAAAGACATAAAATGCCCCGATATTTTTAGACTAATAACTAGTCTAGACTGCCGAGTTCTGTTTGCAGGCAGAGAGCGAGGGGATGTTTTCTGAACAAAGGACTGGTTCTGGGATGCTTTCTCCCCGGTCTGCCTCGCAGACATCGGCATGCGTGAAGCCGCTCCGTCCTCGCGGCTCCGCATCCGCGGAGGGGAGGTTGCGCGGTGGAGAAGGCGCGTTTGCTCTGCTGGGGTCTTTCACCCCACATTGGGGCGCGGGGGGAGCAGCAGCCTGTTAATATGCTCAATCCAGATTTCAAAGCCTGATTTGCATAATGCAATATCCCAAGTGCCCTGGCTTCGTTCCAGCACAACCTCCTCTAGTGGGAGAGCCAGAGCTAAACAAACATCGCTAATGAAATGAATGCGAGGCGAGATTAGAGGGATAGAGAGCAAACAGACACATTACAACAGTATAAATACCCATTAGTTAGAAACGCTCCGCAGCGAGAGTGCAAGAGGACGTTTGTGTCGCTGCTTTTGTACTGGTGTTGCCACCACCACCGGAGCGGAGCTGTGCCCGGGGAGCTCTGGGCTCGGCGCGGGCAGGGGGGGACAGCGGGAGCCGGTGCCTGGCAAGGGCCGACCTCTGCCAGCGCGAAGGGCCGAACCCAGGCAGGCGTGCGCGGGACACTGTCCCCACCAGCGGCAGGCAGGGAGAGGGAGAGCGAACGGCGAGAAATGCAGCTCGACACGCTCCTGCCAAGCCTCCAGTTGAGGCAAACCCCTGGGGTTCTGCGAAATGATGAAGGAATTAAGCCCTTGTTTTATTTAATTCTCTGGCTGAGGATTTAGAGGTAAACGTAATTAACCTAATTTCCATATCTGGGACAGCTGGACTTTAGAAAAAAAAATACCAACCAGCAAACCTGGCATAAATCACCAGGACAGGCAGAGAGGATTTTTTCTCCCCAGTGCATTTAGTTGTTTACTGCTTCATCCCTTCTAGGAAAAAGCCATGTTGACTCAGTTGCTTCGGGCCAGGGTCCTTACCCCTCCTCTGTCCGGGGAGACGCGCTCGTCCCACCCCGCTGAGCAGGCGGGTGCTTGCCCCTGCCGGGCTCCCATCACGCTTTCTCCCCCCTCCACACCTGGGAGCCCTTCGGCACTGACTCGTCGTGGTCCCAAGTAGTGCTGTCTCTGCTCTCTGTGGAGCAGCTCAGTCCCCTCCTGCTGCCCATGACAGCGAGGGTTTTCCGGGATGTTCCATATCCCACTTGCACACCTGGTTATAAACCTTGTCCTAGCTTAAATGCCTTCTTCGCGGGTATTGGTACTCACCAAGACACCGCTATATTTATGCCCTCTTACTCATTGTTTAGCTTAACCGCGCGCAGGTTTAGCCTCTTCATCACTTCATAAATACATCATGATGTGATTGTTCCTGTTCTCTCCCAATCGCCGGCCGTTTGTCAGTGTCGGTAACGCGGGGCCGTAACTAATCCCGTGCAGCCTCGGCACGAGTACGATCCAAGGCCTCTGTATCGCAGCCTGAGATTGCACTGACGCTTTTGCCACCAGGTTGCACTGCATCACGCCAGAGGGGGACTTATCGCGGGGTCCGCTCTGGCTGTGCTTGGGGCCAGGGGCGGTGGGACGGGAGCACCCTGTGCCGCCGGGCTGGGGCTTTTCCCCAGCAAAGATCAGTGCTTGAGGGAAGCAAGTGGTGAATACTGCCTTCCTCAGCTAGACCTTCAGAGCCGTGATCTCTCCCCATGCGGAACAAGGTATTCGGAGCTTGATTTGCCGCTTTTCTCCTCTCTGACTCTTCCATTTTTTTTCCCCAATTCCTCCAGTCCATTGACCCTGGCCAGCAGTTCACCTGGGAGCACTCCAACCTCGAAGTGAACAAACCCAAAAACCGCTACGCGAACGTGATTGCCTACGACCATTCGCGCGTCATCCTGCTGCCCATTGAAGGTACCGTAGCATCTCGACTCCCACGTGTTAGCGCGAGGCTGAGGTTGCTGCACAGAAGCGTACTGCGCGCGCTCTTCTCCCTTTCCTGTTACCCTCTATTTATACTCTTCTCTTAACATCTCCCTGGGGGTTTAGCAAGCGGGAGATACCTCTGTAAACCAGGCATTTGTTAAATTCTGGTGACCGACATATTCCCTGGAGCTGCAGTCTCTCATTTCAAGGGTTGGTTTATCAAGAAACTGTCTTCCCTTTACTTGGAGATCGCTGCTCGATACGTTTCTGACTAAGGGGAAGAATTCAGACCCCATAGCGCTTCAGAGAGAGCGGGAAGAGGGCAGTGGGTGGCAGCGGATGTGGAGCGTATCTGTACGGCGGATGAATGAGAAGTAGGCACAGGGCTAATTGTACAAATGTGAGTGTCAGCAGCGTAGCAAAGATGTGGCTGCCGAGTTGTACAGCCGTAAAGATGACTTGATATGCAGCTCCTGCTGCAGTCCTGGCCCCTAAACGGCTCAGAATAAGCAGGGGTGAGCGTTAGCCTGGTAGGTCATACGTTGTTTCCTGAGCTTCTTGTGTGAGTGAGGGTGCAGTTGGAAAATTTACATTAAATTTCACAACTCGTGGCTCTTGACAGAGTTGCTCTCGCGCACGCTGGGATAAAAGAGGGGCTTTTGGTGGAGAGGAGATGGAGTTTAATAGGGCACCTGCTCTGATTGCTGCTGCCGAGATAGTATTGGAGTTTCGCTTGTCTCAGGTTGTGTGTGGCTGTGCTGTACGAATAAAGCATTTAAGGTCAGTCTCGCGTTGCCAAGAGCTGATCGTCCGAGCGGAGAGGATATGGCATGTCCTAATATCCCCTGGTGAATGCAAAGGTTAATTCAGAAGGCTTTGTGACAAGGGAATTGCTAGAATAATCTCCCTCTGCTGAGGTAACCCTGGGGGACGTGGGGAAGTGGAAGAGCTGTTCCTGAGGTAACAACAGATCACGGTGATTTGCCAAAAAGCTGCTCAAATCTGGATTGGTCTTGTCTGCCGTTAGAGGATTTTAAACATTTCTCATTGTGAAGATGACTGTGTTCTGGCTTGTTTTTTCGTCTGAGATTAATATTGTATGAGCCGAGGAAAGCAAAGTCTTTTAGAAGTTGCCTTGTCATTCAAGGGGCAAGAGAAGAGCACAAGCGTAGAAGCGAAGGACGCTTTGGGCTGGTGTCGGCGCTGGGGACAGCCGAAGCACGGGGCTGGATGCCGGCAGCCGGCTAACTCCGCTCGGGGGACATCGTGAGGGACCGATGGTGCAAGTGTGACGGGCCAAGGTTTAGTTTTCAAGCGTCTGAGAGGTTTTGGCTGGTGTGTTCCTTCCTCCCAGGCTGTATTTTATGCTGAGGGCTGGAAGATGAGAGGAGTTGGGAGGAGTTAGTTGTTGCTTTCTTTTTGTTTTAAATCTGGATTTGTCAAGGCTGCTGATTGTCACCGTCTGCTTGGTCAGGAAGAAGCAGTGGCTTTAATTCCGTGACTTCTCTGTAACTGGGCCTGTCACACGGCAAAACATTGCAGGAGCTCATGGCCACCATTTTAAATTAGAGAGGGGACCCGAGAGGGCTGGAGAGGAGATTAATTCCGGAAGCTCAGCCTTGATCACGTTCCTGCTGCTGCTGCACAGCCACCTTCCCTCCTGAAATTTCAGCTGGGGAAGGAATGGGGGCAGGGAACCCTCCAGAAATTTAATCAAAAGCCATTTCTACCAGCAGCTGAAATTACCGAGTACCCTTGAGGACTGGCAGGCAATTCAGCGTGGATTGCGCCTCGCCAACAGAAGCAGCGATGTCTATTGCTACGGCAGGATGAGGACTAGCAACCCAATTTCATATTGGTGCTGCTCCCCACCCTTGGCTCCCCCTCGAGACACAAGTTAAGCGTTCTGTACCGAGTTAATCATAGGTTAGCAGAAACTGCCAACCTTGCCAGCGCTTGACTGTAATTAGGAACGGGCCCGACCGCCAAACAGCGCGCACCCTCCGTGCCAATCTCGGAGGCTCTTTAAAGCTGAACCTGAACATCAGTGCTTGCCAGTGTCCATTTTAACTTCAGAGCAGTTTGCTCCTGCCATGTCCCAGTCGCCCTCTTCGCGCTGGCAGTACCTCCTGCCGTTCATATCAAACCCCTCCAGCAGGGACAGGCGAGCAGCTGCTACTCAATAGCCTGTAACTCATGGAATGGAAAAAGAAAACCCACTCGTAAAAATGACAGCGGACAATTTAAAGCAAGTCAAAGCCTGTAATTTCAAAGCCTTTGCTGGCTGAATCAAGCCTGGTTTTATTCTTTACTTTGTCCAGCTGTAGCTGACTGCCTGGGATTAGGCTATAGACCGCGCGGTGCATGGACCAGGTGCGTTTGCTGCGCAGGCTCTGGGCGTTCTGGGACAAGGACGAGGGTTTGTCCTATTTGAGACCAGTGAAGCAAGAGCCCCACGCCAGGACTTTTGCTCCTATAGCAACACTAGTAAGAAGACCATGGTTTCAAGGCTTGAGGTTCGGTCTCTTTAATATCTTTTGCAAGAAGTTATTTGTCTCCCCGCAATGCAGACCTTCGAGGCAGGAGCTTCAGCTGGGAAGGGCTTGCGAAGAGCCTGTTACTCCCGGCTGTGATTCTAACCCAGCAAACCATGAAGGCTCTGGGGTTTTTGCAGGGGAATTATCTCCAACAACATTCCTGCAAAGATCTCCTCGCGCTTCCAGCTATACCAAGTCCTGCACAATCCCCTAACTTGCTTTTGCTGGTTTAATACAGGAATTGTGGGCAGCGATTACATCAACGCCAACTACATCGACGGCTACCGGAAGCAGAATGCCTACATTGCCACGCAGGGGCCGCTGCCAGAGACCTTCGGAGACTTTTGGAGGATGGTGTGGGAGCAGCGTTCAGCTACTATTGTTATGATGACTAAGCTGGAGGAGAAATCACGGGTGAGATGCATGAGAGGGATGACTAGTTAGTCATAATCCCGGGGGATCGGAGGGGAGGGTTGGGGAACAGCAGATCCCTTTGATCTGCAGCCCACGTTTCTGTCAGTGGGGGATTTCGGCCTGCTTCGCCAGCACCCTGAAAGTTCAGTGATTCATTGCTTTTAAAAAAACAAACCATTCACCCTGGAAAGCTGCAGCCTCCTTTGCGGCTCCAGGAGAAGGGGACGCTCGATCCCATCGCATGCTTCGTAGGTCTGTCTCGGAGTTAATCATGTGGCAAGTTTCACATTCAGTTCTCATGTTTAACAAGCCCCAGTACATTCGCTCTAATCTTCAGGATCATTCCAGTCTATTGTCTACGTGATTGATGTGGTGCATCAAAGCCTGTGCTTAGTCGGAGCTTCTCAGGCCGGGTCTGTCCCTATCCCAGTGCTCTGGAAAGACATTCCTCACGCCTTCCCTCCCCTTCGGGCCCTGGCCAGCTTCCCCTGCAGCAACACCAGGGCAGCTCTGGAATGAGCTTCCCCTGCAGCACAGGGTTTGTTCCAGCGATCTGCGACGCCTCTTGTCTTCCAGATAAAGTGTGACCAGTACTGGCCGGGCCGAGGTACAGACACCTATGGAATGATTCAGGTGACGTTACTCGATACCATTGAACTGGCCACATTCTGCGTTCGAACGTTCTCCCTTCATAAGGTAAGCTTTCTCCCGCTCCTGTTTTGTCCCCAGAGGTGGGCTGTGGCGCACTCTCCTTACACAGCACAGACGGGGTACGGCGGTGTGACAGTACCTCCCGTCACTCTTGGTGCTCTTTTGTCTTCGCAGAATGGCTCCAGTGAGAAACGGGAGGTCCGCCAGTTCCAGTTCACAGCGTGGCCTGACCACGGGGTACCCGAGTACCCCACCCCCTTCCTGGCTTTTCTGAGACGGGTGAAAACCTGCAACCCCCCTGACGCTGGTCCCATTGTGGTGCACTGCAGGTACTGATTTCCTTCACCGAACTCCTGCGCGGGGCGCTCTGCGAGGGAGGGAGACGTTCAGTAGGATGGTGATGTGCAGTCTCGTAGCGAGTACGCAGCAGAGAAGAGCTGTGCTGCACGGGGGATTCCCAGCCAGCGTCCGAGGAGGATACTCGGGGTTTTCATGGAGTGTGGAATCTCCTGATGTGATGCGTGGTTTAATTTGCACCAAATCACTTAAATCTTGTTCGCGATGGGAAGCGCTCTGTCCTGTCCTGTCCTGGTGCTGTGTGTAGGGGTTGTTTCCTGTCGCAGCGGGAAAGGGGGAAGATGGAGTGCCACCTAGGAAGCTGCTTGGTGGTGCCGCATCGGGTGTTTGGGAGGCAGAGCTGCCTCGGCTGTCAAAGAGGGAGCTGACAGTGACGGAAATAGGGGGTTTTTGAGCGCTGCAGCCATTCTGAACTGAAGGCCCCTATGGGCAGGTAGCGTTCCCTAATTCAATTTACAACCCAGCGAGGAACGCTTGCAGCCTCAACTCAGATAAATCCGCGCGTTCCTCGGGAGGGCGTGCAGGAGCCTGCAGGTTCCTCGGCACTGAGGAAAGACATCTGAATTTTAGAGGCTGCTGGGGAAAGCTAATCCTGCCTCTCCTAGAGGATGCCATTTAAACAGTCTTTGTGAGTGGGCAACTTATCACTAACCTTGCAGATGGCAATTATCGCGCACCTCTCAGAAAATGAATAAAGAGAGCTGTCAGCTCACAACGTGCAGGAACCAGCTCCCAGATCAGCTGCTAAATTTGTGCCAAAGCTCCAGTCACCTGCTTGGTTCAGGTGTGAGGCAGTCTAATTAACAGAGATCAAGGGGGCTCTATGAAAAAAGGGACTGCACTGGAATAGTAAAAGGAAACCCTTTATTAGCAGCGGCAAATGCATAGACCTGCAGAGCCCTGCTGATTCACAAATGCCATTACACACAAGTTTGATGTTACCTCGATCCACAAAAACATTTAGGAAAAGAGGTGACACATGTTATTCATTACAACATCAGTAGTTTCTCAGCTGCTGAAAGATCTGAGTGATTAAACATGCTTTTTAAGCCTTTAGATTGTGCCAGCCTTTTGTTCAAGCCTCGAGCCCCCTACCTGGAATTGTCATAATTGTGTGTCTGCCGGGAGAGCTGTCGTCCCGGGGGTGTCACAGATGACGAGGCAGGAGAAACGGGGCACATCAGTACGGAGGGGCAGTCGGCACGTCACCAGAGACACATTTTCATCTTCTGTCCTGTCCTCGGGTGACATAAGCCCAAACTTGGTTGCGGAAGTTTCTGCTAAACTGAGCTGAGACTGGAAGCAAACCTCTGCACGTTGCAAACTCGTTGGGTCTAAGCCCTTCTGCGTACACGGACCGGCACAGATGAGGGGTTGTGGCAGCACTGCCCCAGGTGGCGCTCGGATAAACGGCTTTTTAGGTTCCAGGGGAGGCTTTACCAGACCTGGTGCAGCACTGTGCTCACGCACCAGAGCACCAGTGACTTTGGAGTCACCGCTGTCCTCCTCTGCACGCTGTACAACTGTCCCAAACCCTCCAACACAGTCAAGGGCAACACAGCGAGGTGAGTGGGCAGTAACACTCTTCCCTTAGGCAGGTTCCTTTAATACAACAAAATAACTGAAACGGCTGGACCCACGCGTTGGGCTGGTTTGCCAAGATTTCTTTTGCCTCGCTCCATCAATAGCTGTGTTCACAAGGCTTTGGTTCCTTCCCAGTGCCTGAGTGCATTTGTTGTTCACTCTCTGCCTTGTGCATCTGTTTCTACCCTGTGTTTACTGCTCTTTGTGGCAGCGGAAACATCCTCCCGTGTGGGCGGCCTTTTGGAACATCTTTCTTCAGTGGCAGAATAGTCCATCACTTCATTTTTTTCCCTTTTTCTTTCCAGTGCGGGCGTTGGCCGGACCGGCTGCTTCATCGTGATCGATGCCATGCTAGAGAGGATAAAACACGAGAAGACGGTGGACATTTACGGGCACGTCACCCTCATGAGGTCACAGCGCAACTACATGGTACAGACAGAAGACCAGTACAGCTTTATACACGGCTCGAGGCTGTTGCTTGCGGCAACACAGAGGTCCCAGCTCGGAATCTCTACACCTACATCCAGAAACTGGCGCAGATTGAAGTCGGAGAGCACGTGACAGGCATGGAGCTGGAGTTCAAGGTACTGGTAGATGCTTGAATGGGGACAGTAGTCACGGGGGAAGCTGCGTATTCCTCACAAGAATTTGTTCTGCTGGCGCTCCCGTGTTGCAGACAGGGAGCCTTTCTGCGGCTGATGGGAATGTTTTGGTTCCATGTTAGAGAAGTAATTACTTTTCTGACTTAAGCTACCGCAGTTCCCAGGGGAGAGAACTACCTCCCACTGCAGGAGGCATCTCTGGTCATTTCAAATCCAGATTGAATTTGCTCACTCTTTAGATTGAGTTTTTAAGCTTGCTTTTTTTTTTTTTTTCCTTTCAAAGTTTTGCTGGGGAAAAGGTCTCAGACTCTATTCCCGCCCAAAAAAAAAACCCAAAGGAGGGCACACCAAGCAGAACAATGGGGTGGAACATGGAGGGCAAGTTAAGTGGGCTGGCCCAGGGCTCAAGCCAAAACAAAAAGCTGAACAAATGGTTGTGATTCTGCTTTTGCCCTCAGCGACTCGCCAACTCCAAAGCCCACACCTCCAGGTTCATCAGCGCCAACCTCCCATGCAACAAATTCAAGAATCGCCTTGTCAACATCATGCCATACGAGACCACGCGGGTCTGCCTTCAGCCCATCAGAGGAGTGGAAGGGTCAGACTACATCAACGCCAGCTTTATTGACGGCTACAGGTAAACCGCACCTTCCTGCCCCGCCGCCGTCGGGGAGTTTTCCGTGTGTGAGTCTGAGGACGCAGCAGCACCGAGGGATGGATTAGGTCTTAGCAGGGGAAGTCTGTTGTTCTGTCCCATCACCTACCTATCCCGCACGTGGTGGGGCAGTACTAGAGGCAAATTCCCTCTTGCTGATGGCCAGCAACCCACACGCAGGCTCAAATAGAGACTTCTGATAAGCTTTATTCTCTGTGGTCTTAAAATTACTCATCCCCTAAAGCAAACCAAACCCTTCTCCAGCTGCAGGTCCCAAACATAGAGTGTCAGTGAGGGGGTGGATTTTGCTGTTGGGAGGTTTCTAAAAACAGCTTAGCCTTTTTATTACTTTTGTGATTTGGGGACATTGCAATTCTGATGGCTTCCCACGGGCAATCCGTGCCATGTGCTCCCGCCCGAGGAGCTGCCGCCCTCCGCTGCCGTGCTCGGAGCCTGGCCGGCTAAAGCGGAGCCCTCACTGAGGGGACAAAGCAACCCCGCGTGCGGGATTCCTCACCTCCCGCTGCATAGCCGTGCCTGGCAGTTGAATTCTCGCTGCCACTCGGGCCCAGAAAACAGAGATTCTGGTTGCAAGAGTCCAGCATGCCACATGTTACGCCTTCTTCCATATAGGGTATCGTATTAGACTAATCTGGATTTGCCCCGTGGAAGCAGTAATTAGAGAAAGCTTCACCGCTGGCTTTTTTTTTTTTCTGACCATTACCACCAAAGACACCTCCCACCCCTTCAGACCTCGCGCTGTTCTAGTTCTTCCCCAGCGTTTCCGTCTGTTTTCCTACTCTCCAGCTTTTGTACGCGTTTCCCAAAGCTTCTGCCCAAGCAGTTCTCCACCCCCCGACTCACCCCCTGTGTTTGGGCTCGATTTCAGACAACAGAAGGCGTACATTGCTACTCAAGGGCCACTGGCAGAGACCACTGAAGATTTCTGGCGGATGCTATGGGAGAACAACTCCACCATTGTCGTGATGTTGACTAAGCTTCGCGAGATGGGTCGGGTAAGCGCGTGCTAAGGACAAAGATGGGGGGAAGCCAACAGCACAAGGGCTAACGGAGACCTTCCCTTCCCCCTGGCAGGAAAAGTGCCATCAGTACTGGCCAGCGGAGCGCTCTGCCCGGTACCAGTACTTTGTAGTAGATCCCATGGCTGAATACAACATGCCTCAGTACATCCTGCGAGAATTCAAGGTCACTGATGCCAGGGTAAGTGTGTGCTGCGCAAGGGGCAGTCGGCGCTTGCGAGGGTTGTCGCTGGGGCTGGGCTGGAGTGGTTCAAAGCTGTGCAAGAGGGAAGGTGGCTCACAGAAAGCAAGGGAGTTCGGCGTGTTTTGGCCCCCCCTAAGAAAGAGTGAGGTGTAAACACTTTCTCTGTGAAAGTCTGGGATTACCATCAGTGGAGGAGAGCTTAGTTGTGATGAGGAACAGGACACACCAACACACGGAGATTGCGCTTGAATGTATCTTCTTACAAATTGAAAGCAGTTGTCTAACCTCTGCTCGCTAATCACAGTAGCGAGTCACTTTGTTAGGGATGGACCCGGCTCTTGGTTTTACCTGCAGCTTATTGAAAGTTGATGAAAGCAGAAAATAGTGTCTCCCAAAATGCTCATAAAAACACAGACTTGCAGAGAAAATGTGCGCTTCTCCTCGGGTTTTAAGAGGAGCCTCCGTTACTTGTATTCAAAGGGGCACATTCACTCCCATAATCTCAGATTCAATGTCAGATTTCTCCTCTGAAGGAATATGTCAGTGCCCTCTGAAATTTGTTTAGCAAATGTAACTCTCGCTCTCAAAGTAGAGTCTTCTGAGGCTGCCAGTATGAGAGAACCCGATAACTCTATTTGCAAGGTTGAGGAGGAGGATGCCTCATCAGTCCTGCTAGAACAAGATTTATCTTCCTGTCAGCTGTAATTCTGACACTGTGGCAACTCTTGCTCAAGATTGATAGAGAGGCCATAACCTCACCTTGAATGTTCCTTCGCTGAAGACTCCATCTGTGCAGCCTTTGCTGTGGTCAGAGCTTCCCGCGCACCCGGCAGGAGCACAGCTCCCTGCTGACGAGCCGACTCCAGAAACGTCAACTGCACCACGAGCGGCTTCAGCGTTATGTATATAACATACATCTCTCTTCACTTGATTATAACACAAAGTTGGTTCACCTCCTTGTGCCCCTCCTTGTGAGCTAGCAACAAAAGGGGGGAATTTTTTGCCTTTTGTACTTAGTGCCACAAATACAGGATGTTTTAAATACTACTGTTTTCTCCCCCCAGGACGGTCAGTCACGAACCGTTCGTCAGTTCCAGTTCACTGACTGGCCAGAACAAGGCGTGCCAAAATCGGGAGAAGGTTTTATCGATTTCATTGGACAGGTACATAAGACCAAGGAACAGTTTGGCCAGGACGGCCCCATCTCTGTCCACTGCAGGTAGGCACACGCAAATGGAAACATCTAATTCAGCTGCAGAGTCAAAAGAGCAGAAGGAATTAAAATCCTACAGCTTTCTCCCTCCTCTCCCAGCCCATCTTTGCAGGCGGATGTCCTGGGGGTGTTGGGGGGAGGTGGGGGGCAAATACTGCTGCTTCTGCAGCACACTCATCTCCCTTCAGACCTGGGCACTGCCCAAAAGGCCTCTGACCCTTTTGATCTAGGGGAGAGGTATGAAATGCTGCTACTCTGAAGGAGATGGGAACCATAGTGTTAATCAATATTTGACCTGCAGAATTAGAGGTATTTCTTAACCAGTTCTGCACCTCTAACAAGGCTGGGCTGTATTTGCTGGTAGCAAGAATTGCACCTCCCTACCCCTGGGCAGCACGGGATAACGTGTTCTTCAAATTATTTCATTTAAAAAGCTTGACATTACATACTAGTAATAATTTTCACACTGAATGCTCTTTACCACTACCCAAAGCTTTTGATTATTATTTTTTTTTTATTTCACATTCTCAAACGTTTGTTAGGGTCACATGCTCTGGCAGTTTTACTATCTCCTACCTCCTGGAGGACTCACCGAGGCTCTCCAGTTCTAACACGTTCATGTTCATAAGACACAGCTCAACCATACCGCAACCGCAGCGTTTAGAGCAGCATTTGAACGCCGTAACGTAGTTTCCTGATTTTTCTCCCATTCCTGCAGTGCTGGCGTGGGCAGGACTGGAGTGTTTATCACATTGAGTATCGTCCTGGAAAGAATGCGTTATGAGGGTGTTGTAGATATTTTCCAGACAGTAAAGATGCTGCGAACACAACGACCTGCTATGGTGCAAACAGAGGTGAGGGGGAGTGGGGAGCCCGGCCCCGGCACAGCTCGGAGCGCTGCGGCTGCAGAGGGGACTGGGCACAGCGCGCTTTTTGCCTTCATTACCACGAGCACAACCTTAGCTGAGGGTGACTGAGCAAGCCCAGGCTGCGCTGCTTATTTTACCTACGTAATACAAATTCCCATTGTTATGAAGTCTCTTAAAGGTTTCATCCCGCTCTGCCAGCCCCGATTCTTGTCTCATCCCCACCTCTGAGGTAAGGGCACTCACCTGCCTCGAAACGCAGCCCCCGCTGGCCGCAGCGCCAGAAGGGTCGGCGGTGGGAGGACGCACAAACAGTAAAGGGATTTCCTTTCCCAATAGTTTGAAGCTCTTTGAAAATAGAAGATGGTTCCTGCCCGAGGATGGGGTAGCAGGAGAGCGGGGAGGGATCCTGAAGGGCTGCTCCAAACCTCTGAAGCCGGTTCTCTTTACTGTCCGCAGGATGAGTACCAGTTCTGTTACCAGGCAGCGCTGGAGTATCTGGGAAGTTTTGATCACTATGCAACATAAAAAGCCATCCGTTGTGCAGACTCTACCAACCACTTAAGTCCTGGAAGGCCTCTTTTGACCCAGGAGGAGCGCTTGAACTTAGAAAACTGAATCAGAAGAAGTACCTTTTCATCTGGACAACGCATCGGGGAGCAGGGGGGAGGATTGAAAGGAACACCCCTTCAGGAACTCCATGTTGTAACCTGGACCGTGAAGAGGCAGCTCAGGAGATCGCTGAAGGACTGCTTTAAGTGGTGAACTGCTCTTGTTACCTCAAGTGGTGTTCGCTGTGGAGGACGTATGGACATCATGAAACAGATCCAAAAGCTAAAACACACCTTGCGAAACGTTACCGCTGGAGAAGGGAAGGAAACCGACTTTGGTTACATCATTAGAGTTCAGTTTATTTACTAATATAGTTGGCAGTCTTTAAAGGAAGTCACTTGCAGAATTGAAGGTGTTCTGTAAAAGATAAGAAAAGGAACTAAATCTCAACACTTAGGCAAACTTAGGGTCAGGAGTTCTTCTAGCTGGAGTCTTAATAACCTCAGTGTCAGCACTGGGATGACCCTGGGCTTACAGGCACCTTGCAAACAGCATTCACTGAGTGCCCCTGCCACGCCAGAGGTTTTATAGCTCACATTTTGAATACTTGGAACATTCCTCATTTCTTCTAATTCCAAAATTTATTTTTTAGGATATTTAAAATTATAGAGAGAGAGATCCAAACCCCAGACCTGGCTGTGTGGTGAGGCTCCCTCCCCTCCCGCACCGGTGGGACCGGCAGAGGCAGCAGCTTCCCCGCGCTGGGTTCGCTGACTGCTGGTTCTGTTCCCCCCGGTCAGCACATCCAGCTAACGCGAAGGCATTCATTTGAGCGGTGGCGGGACACCCCCTGAAGAAAGGCAGCCCCTTTCCCGTCCTCTTTGCACCTTCACACCCCCCCTCCTGCTGCCAGCAGCCGTGCTGCCCCGCCGGCCCCTGCTGCGGGAGGCCAGGAGCATCTCCGAAGGGAGCCCGAGAAGCGCCCTTAAGAACCGTATCCCCAGTAGCCAACCGCTTCTCGCTGCCAACCCCGCACCTCTGCCCACCGCGGCGCTGCGGGAGCGCTGCAGAGATACTCTCAGGACTGTCCCGGTACCGCGTCACCCCGAGCTCGCTGGCACAGCTGCCAACATGCCCTAGCTGTATAAATAACGGGGAGAGATCAAGTAAGACACATTCAATGGCATATACTGTGAGTGGCTTTCTTTAAAGTATCGATGTAACTGTAACAAGTGACATTACCTTTTTTTTAAATAGTGTATTTTTTTCCTTTTTTTTTAAAAAAAAGACAAAGAATATCAGTCAATGAATTTAAAAGAAAAATTTGCTTATTTGTTCATATTATGTTCAAAGACAGTCTATTTTTTCACTGTAGAAATGTTACGTGTAATGGCTGTGATATATAAAAATGCAGTGCAAATTGCTACTTCTACATATTGCTTTTCTACCATTTAAAAGGTTTAACTTGCTCATGTAAGTACAAAATGTCCTTTCTGGATTTTTTTTTTTTTTTTGGGTTCTTTTGTTTTAAACCGCAGACATATCGGCTGTCTCTGGCGGGGGGTGAGGGGAGCAGGCAGGCCAGACGCGGTGGCAGTGCCAACCCCCTCCCCTTCACCGGTGGCCGTGTTGCCCGGTCTTCACAGGGCCAGAGGTGAACGGGGAGATGAAACAATACCTGTGTCTTATGATGATGACTGAAAACAGAAAGACAGCGATTTCGGAGCCATGGCACACGTCAGCGCACACACAGATTCTTTTTTAACATCAAAGGTGTACTGTAGGTAACGGCCCACGTCTGTCCGTGCGCTGGGTTGTAGATATAATGCTCTCGCAAGTGTACGTGAGAAGGCGTTTTCTTGCAGAAGTGCGCAGAGGACAGCATGTCTTGGAAAAGACGCACTGCCCTGAACACTGCTTGCCTGTGACTTTTCCTTTTTTTATTTTTCTAGAAGGGGTAATCATGGCCATCAAGTGCTACCCGGAAACCCCCAAACAATTGATTTCCTGTCTTTAACTCAAAAAAGAAAAAAAGAAAAAAAAAAAAAAAAAAAAAAGAAACGAACGAAAGGCTTCTTCGAGATTTTACTTCTTATTTGTGTGAAAGTTGCCCAAATTTCTAAGTATGTTGCAGCAAAATCTTACTGGACAAGTTGGGGGGAGGGGGGAGGTTTTTTTCTTTGTATGAGAGCAAAGTGCTGTTGCTTTCACACTGTTATTTCAAACTGAAACAGTAAGTGGTTTTCATACCACTGTGTATGTAGATATATTGACTTTGTATTAAAGGAAGATTGTCTGAAAGGCTGACTGCAAACCTCTTTGTGGGTTGAAGTGGGCAGCGAACGACGCAGTTACTGCGTGTAACGCAGCGACTGCAGAACCCTCCTCTCCGGCGCCCGCGGGCAGGTAGCAGGTTGCTCTCCCTCGGCTGTGCTTATGCTCCTTCTAAAAATAGACCACCTTTACATGCCAAACATGTGGCTGCAAAGAAATGAGCTCATTTGGAGCGCTTTTGGCCAAGTAGCTGCAGTGACACAGGGATAAGCTCAGCGCTCGTTTAGCTACGGCAGTGTGGGCTTTGGCACGAGCGGAGCCAGGACTGCGGCTGCACCGAGAAGCCGCGGGTGCACGCGTTGTGCCTCCCTTGAGGTTCAACACCTTCAGTGATCTCCATTTCTGCTGACGTGTCTGTGTTGCCGTTATGTGGGACGGTGGCTTTGAAAGGAGCGGATCCCATCCCCTTCCCTGCTCAGCCTGGAGCCCGGGATGACTATGATGATGATGGTGGCTCCACACCTGCAGGCAAGGGAAAGAAAAAAGTGTCTGTGAAGAAGTCTCCCTGAAGAAACAGATGTACTCAAAGCAGAAGGCAGCGCAAGCCAAAGGTCCTGTTTGAAGCTCATGGCCACAGCAGACAGCACTCTCCCTCGTTACGCTGCCGGAGGTCTGTTGAGGGGAATGGTTGAAGACAAGACAGCAGCTCACAGCTCCTCCCGTGCCTGGGAAAGCCCGTGCCACGCGCTGCCGCGACCTACAACGCAATGGGGTGGCAAGGCTGAAAGCAGAAGACGTATCTGCTCTCTCAATGCCAACATGAGCCGCTTAAAAGTCTTTGTGCAGCAGCGCTGGAGCCTGCCGAGCCGGAGCAGGGCTGTGCTGACGGGGGGCTGCCCCCGGGGAGGCGCAGGACGGGCTGAGCATCGCTCTGCAGCCCCTGCAGGACAGATGAGAGCGCCGCGGGCAGCAGCTGGTGAGGACACAGGGTTTGGAAGCAGCAGGAGGAGGAGGATGGGAGTACTCTGTATCAGGTTGGGTTTTTCCCTCCCCTTTACAGCTGGGCTGTGCCAGCACAAACCCGCTCTCCTGACCAGCATGACACCACCAGCGGTGTTTTGGCTCAAGGTTAAGGTGGGGAAGAAAAAAAATTAGTGAGTTAGCATAGCCCCATGATCAACCATCAGGTGAGCTGTGACCCCAGGGAATCACATCACCCTCAAAATGGTGTTACTCCATGTGATGGGGGGGACGACCAAACAAACACCAAACACCAACAACCCTGATGGCACAGGAAAAAAAAAACCAACAAAAAGCCCTGGTTTATGATTATGTCTCACGTACCCAAGTACCTCCAGGCAATGACATCCATAGTAATGATTTTTGACTCTTCATAATCTCCCAGACTCAAAGATAATTTGTAGCACTGAGCTCTACAGATCAGCCGTGCAACACAGGACAGGCACCTTTCATCACCCTTACATCAATCAGGGTGTTGATTCTGGTGCTCACTTTATGTTATCATTGAAGAATAGAAAGAAAAAAACCAACTGATTTTTCTTCTGAGCTCTGTTCATCAGCCGCCCGCCCTCTGTCCTGTGCCTGCCTGCTCTCCTGCATGCTCAGCAATACTATTCCCGTCTCTCTGTGACACTGATCACTCCCATCGCCGCTCTCCGGCCTCTTATTTTTGTTCTATCCTTTTTTGACCTGGTGTGACCATCCCCCGTGTGGAGATGCAAAACCCCTACAGAACAGAGCCACATACCACACGGGGTACAGGAAGGTGAGAGACAAAGAGAATTGGAACAACAGCTGGAGTCTAAGTAAATCTTTCAAAAAAAACCCAACCAATGCTGTAGGAAGCCAGTTAGAGAAGCAAATACAAAACGAAATCTTCTCGGCACAAGAGTAAAGCTTAGAAAAGCTGCACAGCCTTAACACCGTCACCGAGTCCACCTTGACACTGTAGCAGCGATGGTCCTACAGCAGCTTCTCTCGGAAGGTCAAGAAACAGAGTGCCATCGCTACGAAAAGCCCGTTACCATCTCTGCCTTCTGATTTCCATTGCATCGCTCCACGCAAAACTTCAAATACATGAGAAGAAACTTAAGCAGCGTCTGTAGCAGCAGTAACCAACCGGGCTCCCTCCGGCTCCTCACACAAGATCAGGACGAGCACGTGGGAGGAAAGCGGCAGCAGAGCCCTCCGTCGTTCACCGCCAACAGACACACTGGGATGCTCCGGAGGATGATTCTGGCACAGAAAAACCCATCTGAGGTGTCCCGATTTGGCCACCCAGAGAAACCCCCCCTGAGAAGGAAGGGAGCTGAGACACCAGGAAACCCCTCTGTGGTTCGCTGCAGCTGGAACAGGCGGAGACGTCTGGTTGGGACAGACCACAGGTGACCAAACCAAAACGCTCGGGGGACTGGGGAAAAAAGGGAAAAAAAAAAAAAAAAAAAAGCCATTGCTCCGGGCTAGGCAGGGGCTGACTCAGACTGTCAGAGCCAAACCGCACTGGTCCTCGCGCTTTCGGATACCTAAAGATACCTGCTCGCAGCTGAAAAGCCAAAAGGAGGTAAGCGAGGAGCAGCTGCCACATCCAAACTCCTCAGGGCAAAGAGGGATGACGGAGAACCCGCAGAGACCTGATCTCGGCTCCACAAAAACCTCCTACCTGGAACACTCGACTCAGCTCAGCGTAATTCATACTGCAAAGCTTTTCACGGAGTCGCGCTATCACACAAGATAAGCAGCGGGTTTCATGCTCTGTCTCTGCTTCAGGTGAGGACATCCTCAGCCTCAGCACCACGAACACACTGAGAAACCCGCACGTAACCGTCCCGTTGACGCAGCACATTGACTGGTGCTCATAAGCTGCTGAAATTACATTCTAACTCGCAGTTTCTGAATGCGGCAGACCGATGTGGTCGTGCTGTGATTAAGCACAAATGACTCCGGGCGCCGGGATGCGCGTGGTACACCCTGGCTGCACCGCG